GCGCACATTTTAAAATGTTCTTGAAATGTAAAAAAAATGTTCATGACATTTAGAAACATGTTCATCACATTTTAAAAAAACAATTATGAGATGTAAAAACTGTTTACATAATTTCAAAAACATGCTCATATAATTTTTAAGAATGGTCACATGTTTAAAAACGTATAAAAATGTAAAAAATAATTTATGTAATTTTCAAAAAAATGTTCCTATCGTTTTAAAAAATATTTTACGAAATTTAAGAAAATGTGTCATGCTTTTAAAAACAGGTTAACGAAATTTTAGAAAATGTTCATGCTATGTTAAATTTGTTCGTGTAGTTTGAAAAGGCTTTTTCATAATAACATATTAAAAAAAAGTTCATGACTTCAAAAAAAGTGTTTGCAAGTTAAAAAAATTATATTAAACACTTGAAAAGAAACTCAATGTGCATTTGGCAAATGTTCAATATGTATCCGAGTAACGTTCATCATATATTCGCAAAGTTCTCAACGTGTATCTAAAAAGTGTTCAATGTGTATATTTAAATGTTCAACGTGTATTAAAAAGATTCCCCATATATTTGAAAAAAAGAAAAAGAGAAAAACCAAACACAAAAGAAGAAGTCGATAAAAAACTCAAAAGAAAAACTGATAAAGAAAAAACATAGAAAAGTAAAAAAAATCCCCTAGATCATTCCCGAAACCGGTGGAAGGTTCCCCGAATGTTCCCTAGAAGCTTCCCAAAAACCGCTCGCTAACACAGTTATTGGGGCGCCCATTATGTCGCTCTCTACAGGCAAGCGCAAGTTCTGCCTCGCAATGAGGGATTTTTAGCATTTGCGGCGTGCACCATCCGACCAATTTACTTTGAAGGTGATTAGGCCAAGGGCCGTTTTCCACAGTTACTTAGATGAATTCTCATTAAAAAGTCATTTTGATGCCAATTACTCAGATCTTAATGACACATGAACAAAACATTTCAGCACCCTGCTGCTATGCTATAACTTCCAGTTTAATTTAAGGAGCGTTGTAGCACGGTTGGCAGCAAAATCCTTCATGTTAAAATAGTGTAAATAGCGTAGATGAGACAGCCATCTTGGGGTTGAGGCTAATAGCATCGTTGCATGTTAAAATTCCTAACTTCTGTAATCTTCCATGCGTTCCCAGGCTCCTTTTCGCCATGGATAAACTAAACCTTGTAACCCAAATTGCTGCCAGAAAAAATAGCACTAGATCATTGCCAATGCCGATGATAGGGTGTTAGTAGTTATGAGTATATATTTGAGATGAGGATCATATTCTGGAATTTCAATCTAAGAGATGATATCAAAATGTTTGGCGGCAGATCCATGTCAAACATCTTGCTTCACAGCAAAATGTAACAAGCACCTCCTTACTACATGAAACAGATTAATAACATCGGACATACATCAAAGTGGAGTTTTAACCTTCATTACAACCAAAAATGATGCATGATTCTACTGGAACAGGTTTGACGTTCATAAACATGATTTTCTGCTTCTTCCGCCTACATTATATTAGCATAGTGATGGACGATTCTACCACACTTCAAACATTCAGAACTTGAATGAAATCTGTAGGCCACCAGGAGCATGTCGAACAGATCGAGCTTGGGCACCATGGTATCCACCCCCAGCAGGATGCAGGATATTCTCAGAGCACAGGCTACAACCACCAATGTTTTTGGGATTGGCTGCGAGTGTAAAATCATTTATGTAAAGAACACCACACACACACCCGCATCATTCATCAAGATAAAATTTGTGTGAACAAAAACTGGAACTTGGATTATTGAACATACCTGGGTCAAGCTTAACACATGAAACACAAGATATTTTCCTCGTCCCCACAATTTCCGATTCAGCAAAGAAGTACTTCGGGACGAGATCAACACAGTTGGTGGCTCCTTTTCGCTTAGCAAGGAAATTTGCATGGAACCAGATACCATTGAAGACAAAGACATGGCTGCTCACTGGTTTAACCATCTCATGCTCATCCCCCTAACAAATTCACAAACATAAGAGGGCAGTCCAAGGGTGCATATACGAATTAATGAGTAGCTACTAGCTAGGCACTTGGTAATGCATTATGAACTGTTAGATTTAGTCTGTGGAATTCACCACCATAATAGGGCAGTTCAAGGGTGCAATTAAGTGCCATGTAACTGAGAAAGAAGTTAA